TCAAACTACACGGTATGCAGCAAAAAACAGTTGTCAGCACGTAAAAGACGACAGCTATAGTGGTAAGAACGGTTGTCGCCCGGATATTTGATTGAGAGAGAGGAACGGGCACGACAGGACTGGGTGTGGGGATGATAGACGTGGAAAAACTAAAATATGCACAGTATTTGCCAAAGTAATGCCTGAGGAGTGATATTCGGAAAAAGTGGAAAAAAAATTACAGATTTCAAATAACGATACCTGCTCTGCACATTTGTGGGCTGAAAAGAAGTCTGCGTAGCTCTTTTAGTAGTGGTAGCTGCTGTCGTCGTGGTTGGTAAAGGGGTGGTAACAGTCTGAGACGCGTTATTTGAGGGCGTTGTGGTTTCTGTAAGAGTACCTATTTGATAAAAGTATGCTTTGCTTCAGATCTGTCAGATAATACGCCACAATGAGCACAACAGCTTCGATATTAGGCCTCAGTCAGACTTCGCTTAAAAGCGCCCAAAAGCGCTGAAAAGCGCTCAAAAGCGCCCAAATTTCTCTAACCTCTCCTCACTTTTTCTCACCTCTTTCTTACGAGAAAGTGAAAAGACATCAGAGAAATTTGGGCGCTTTTGGGTGCTTTTAATCGGACTCTGGCCGGGGCCTTACTGCTGTCAAAATTTAAAAATAAAAAATTCAACATTAGGCAGGAACGTAAACAATTTCCAAACCTTATTCAAAGCTTTTGCAGACAAATCACTCAACGTCACATAAATCATGATTCTCCAAATAGCAAATAAACATCGATCAAAACTTACCCAGACTAAGCGAAGACGTGACATTGGGAGGACTTGTCGTTTTGTTCAGAGCGATAGCTTTGCGCATCTGCTCATTTTTGTCCGACTTTGTCTCAACTGCTTTGATTCCTTCAACAACTTGAGGTCTGAAACATAGGACATACAATAAAAAATCCAGAAATGGTAAACTGTGAGCTTCCAATTACTTTTTTGGTTTTGTTATCATCGTCTCGTTTGACAATGGCAGACCTAACGTACTGCTGATATTGTTGGTCATGACATCAGGAGTTGCCGTAGACACATCCGCCTGTCGTTTGTGACGAATGAGAATGGGTGAAAGCGAAGAAGATGCATCTGGAATGAGTACTCTGCATCTAAAATGTCTGACGGATCTCAATGCACAGACCTGGAGTGAGACCGGGCTGATTATGTGTAACAAGAATGACAGAAGATCCAACAGTGATGAATACATAGAGGAAAAGTGCCTTCCTGTTGAAACCACGCCAATATATAAGAAACACGGCAAGTCCAACTGAAAACTGGTGGATAAATTGTCAGCGTTTTACTTATAATAAAATCCGGTTATGTACTGCTATCACAATAACAAGTATTAACCAATTATTTTGATATGCGAGTTCCCTAAAAGCGAGGCTAGTAAATTCCGCAGAATTTGAGACGATCAGAACACTTATCATTAACCACAAGAATGCCATAAAACTGGCTCGCTCGCTGATTTTTGCTCTATGATGCTATGGCGCAAACTATTTATTGATAAGAACTTTTTCACAGATCGAAAAAGTAAAAAAAAAGATGCATGATGTCGCATAATTCTTCATTTAACAAAATCGACAAACTAACCGTATAAGATATTCCCTGAGACAAAGCCAAGTAGTGTACAGATAATCCTTGCATCAATCAATCCCGGAAGCGCAGAAATAATCCAAGAAACACCACATAGCGATAATGAGGCCAAAAATGTGAGGAAGACGAGGCTCAGACGTCGGCATAAAAGCTTACCTAAAACAAAGTTCACCAAAATCAGAAACAAAGACCATGTGTGCGAAGATTTTCGTTGGGGCGTAAGTATGACTGTGTATTATAAGTATTTTATGAATGTGAGCTTATATTTATTAGTTGAATAGTTACTCATTAGGTTATTAGTTTCCAAGTTCAAATGCTAAAAAATCATAAAAACTACAGATTTTCAGAACATCAATGACTATAAATGATGAGATTTGTTCGGATGAACCAAGAGTTCTATAGAAAATGTCGCATGTATTGAAAGTTGTCATCAAGCATAGCAATTCTACTACGTCCAACACATACTTGGTCTAATAGCAATTTCCACCTAACACAAAATAAACCTCCAATCTCATATCATAATGCTTCTCTTTTGTCGATAACTAAGCCGGGCCCTTCCGAGCAACCAGCTGATATCAGAAGAATTATGACAGACTAATGGAAATGTCCATGTTGAAGGCATTGTCCAGGTCCACTGGGGGATAATGGGATCTTG